GCTTTGAATATATGTCGGTATGTACAAATAGCATACAATCGAAATGTATACCAAGTCCATATGAAAATATTGATCTTGACTCAATTGGGTATCTATTTAGTACCATTAGTTGGTTTTATTGTCGAATTTCTTTTTGGTTGGACTAAGATAGAAGAGCTTATTGAAGATAATTGTGACGTATTTTATACAAATATCTATATTCAAGTATTTAATACAATTTTCGGATATGCATTACCAATGCTTCTGAACGTATTGGTGATTTTTGCTAGTGTTCGTCGTGTTCATTTAACATCAACTTTACAACCGGCACAACATTATGTTTCCGCTCGTGAAAAATATCATCGTTCATTAGTCATCCAGTTTCTTTGTTTTTATCTCATTTGGGGTACACTTTGGTCACCATATGTTATTATGTCTCAAATATCATTTAGTAAAGAGTATGCGATGTATACTGTTTTGCTACTCAGTTTTATTCAAATAGCATTTGATCCAATAATTATTGCAGCTTTAGATGTTCGTTTTTGGCATGAATGGAAAAAAATCTGGGTTCCTATATATAATACTATATTCTTCAATCGAGCAAATCGTAGACGAATTCAACCTTTAACAGTGAATCCCAATTAAATTTCAGTTGCAGCTCTCTGACTGAAAACAAATGCCTTTAAAAACAAAAATGCGTAAAACTTTACTTTCTCTAAAGAAACATTTTATTATTTTATATAGGATGTGGATGTACCAGTCTTCTCTTCATCTACATCCCACACTCACACCCAACTTGTCAAATCATGCATATCAGTCTGAATAGACTTTTGGAATCCTATTTTAACCGCATGGTGGACTAAAGCACGATCGCATACCATGAAGTTCTTCAATTGAGAGCAGTAATTGAGATTTTTCTTGTTTTAGAAACCAATCTCATTTGAACGACTATAACGCATAATATAAAGATTTAAAATAAAAGAAGACTTACAAGTTCGAGTTGACAGCTATGAAAGAAGTACTTAGTTTTCTAGTATAATATACCAGTTATTCTGAAGAAATATTTTCATTTAATGGCCTTTTTGATACTTATGAATACATGTATGAGGGTGTGGGTGTGGGTGTGGGTGTGGGTGGAATGTGGATGTGGGTGAGGGTGGGGCAAGAGAGGATTCCAACCCATACGCCACACCCATACCCATACCCATACCCATCCACACCGGCACCCGCACCCACAGTCACACCCACAGGCACCCACACCCATCAACATCCACAGGCACCCACATCCTCAAGCATGGTTATAATTATGCGTGAGCGTCACAGATCTCCAGAAATGTGTCTCCGATTAATATAAATGCAAAAACTTTGTTGGATCAAAGTCAGCCAATTTTTTAAGATTTTGAGCATTGGTATAAAAAAATCAGGAACACTCTATTTAAAATTTGTATTTATAGTAGCGCTCAAAATTGATCATATACTCCAGTCGAAAAATGGATGGATATACTACTTCACATTTCATCTTTTTCAATAAAAAGACACATTTTAATAATAGTTTAATAAACCTTCACTCGCTTTCCACTTAAAGCATTTTAAAAATGGATCTTCTCTTTCAAAAGGATGAAATACCAAATTATCTTTCGTTCTATGTCATTTTATTTTTAGTGACTATACAAAGATATTGTTCAGTTTTTCAGGAGTCTTTTTTTAATTATATGTTCAATCTTAGTCGAAAGAAAAAAATTCAATCAAAATAATGAAAGTTTTAAAGAAAAATAGAGATGGAAATGAACGACTATCTAATATAAACCAGAGACCGAAACGGGATGGGGAGAAATTATGACGGGGCGAGGCGGGCTTAAGTTAAAATTCCCGAAGATTCCTCGTGATAGTTTCACAGCATAAATATTGATATATAGACTATGTATTTGAATAATGTGTGCATAAAGACTTATGATAATAGTCTCTGTGCAACAGATAATCTACTCAACACTTCGTACAAGTATAA